ATTAGATTGTGGGCCGTCATGGTAATCTCATCATCAATGTTACCATAGCTATGTATGAGTGTGTGTGCGTTTGTGTTTGTGTCCAGTTGTGGCAACGACAAAAATCAATGAGTATCCAGCATAAAATTACGTTGCCCTAGGCTTTGGGAGACGTAATGTTATTTTTTTGGTCAAATGGATTTTTGCGATGGATTCTATAAAAAAAAATGAAGACTAAAGTATAACTGAATATTGATTTAAATCCCTAAAAGTATTCAAAAATAATGGCATGAGGAAATGTTCGCAAAAGTGTATATTCAAAAAAACTCCCGCATAAAATCCAACCAATATTTATTTATAAATATTCATATATAAAATATTAAAAAAACTATATCCACTTTATTATTGTTTATTAAAAACAGTCAACCCTCCCCGTTCCCCACATACAAATTAATATTCCTTTGTATAAATTTGTAACAATTTGCAGTTTGTTTCCAGTGAAACGACGAAAAAAAAAACCTTGGCCACATTTAATAGATTCTGTCCATTTTCATTTTGTATCAAACTATGACCTGAAAAAAAAAACGAAAAATTGTAATAAAAACCATAAATCCATCAATCAAAAAATTGGCCAGACAATTGAAACAACTGACTGACTGACTGACTGATGACACACAGTAGCAATTGTGTGACATTGGAGAAAGTGCAAAAAAATGGACTTGTATGTAAACAATAAATGAGCGTAACCACCAAAAACTCCCACATGGGGATCCACTGATGATGATGATAAATAATGCTAGGCATAATGGTAAATTTTTGCAACAAACAGACAGCTGAGGCAAAAACAACCCTGAACCGCATCATTGGAAGACAAGAAAAAATTGAAGCTTTTCAATTTGCCACAAATGTAAACATAAACAGATTATTTTTTTTTTTCAATACAATTGTTAATAAAAATGTACGTATTGGATCCTGCCAAAGAGCACAGTGATAAGTCACAACAATTTAATAATACATTTAAATTTTTTTTTTTTTTGAATCTTTAAGGCCAAAATTGTATAAGGAACATTTTTTAAGGACATAGAATTTTTTCAAAATTTGTAGGAATATTTTTAGGGTCCAAAATTTGTTTGGGAATATTTTTAAAGACATTCGCAGAGTTTAGATTTTTTTAAGACTATTTTTAGGGTCCAAAATTTGTTTGGGAATATTTTTAAGGACAGTACCTACAATTTTTTCAGCATTTTCTTAAGAGTCAAAATTATTTAGGAATATTTTTAAGGACAATCGCAGTGCCTAGAATGTTTTCAGAATTCTTAGGAATATTTTTAGAGCCAATTTTTTTTGGGAATATTTTAAAGGACAGTCAAATGGTCTAGAATTTTTAGAAATCTTTTTAAGTACAATCGCAGTGTCTAGATTTTTTTTTTTCAGAATTCTTAGGAATATTTTTTAGGATTATTTTTAGGACAATCGCAGAATCTAGAATTGTTTTCAGAATTTTTATGAATATTTTTAAGGGCCAAACATTTTTAGGAATATTTTAAAGACAATCGTAGAGTTTTAGAATATTTTTAAGGACAATCGCAGAACATAATTTTTGTTTTCAAAATTTTTGGGACATTTTTAAGGAATATTTTGAAATAAATTCGTTATCTACTTTAATATATTTTTTAAGGATATATGAGTTTAAATTCCATATTATATACAAAATTTTCTCCAATAGAAGTATATTCCTCTCCCCTACCTTTAACTTCTTAAAATTGCATTTAAGCTCTTTTGCCTTTGACCACACACAACAAAGCCCAAAACAACCAATTTTCTCTTTTTTGAAAATAACCCTGTGTTGTTGTTGTTGTTTTTGTTGGGGTTTTATTCCTTGCCAAGTCAATTGTCAACACCAACTGTCATCACTGCTGCTTCGTTCGTTACCAAATGAATGCTACTCGAGTGATCAATAAAAATTTGCGAAATACAATTTTCGCAATACAGACAGGCAGACGGGCAGGCTGGCAGGCAGTCAGACAGCCAATCAAGATGGACAAACTCCAATACTCACACACACACATCGAAGTGAAAGAGACCCACTGACTAGTAAATATCCGGAGTGAAAGTGCGGTCAGAATTCTGTTAGTCGGTTATTCACTTTATCATCAACAACATGACAACATTGGTGGTGGTGGTGTTGTTGGTATCTACAGATGATGATGATGACTCGATGACTGAATGACTGACTAGTTGGCTGGCTGTTTGATTGTAAATACCAATACCATTACAATCAGGCTCACCATTATATCCCTGGATAGATGGAATTGCGTTTTAATGGCACCAAATGCCATAGGACAAGTATGTTTTACCCACCCAAAAAAATCGACAAAATTAAAAAAGGAATGCAAAACAGAAAACCTGCTTTGGCTGCTGGTCACCAATACATTTACATGTTACAGTGTTTGTTGCCCACACACACACACACACAAAGTCAAAAGTGCCTGTGCAATAAACATAAAACCTGTAGATGTGGTTGTCACCGCAATTTTTGTGAATATGAAAATAAATGCTTTTAGCCACCCAATGATGCTGATGGTGATGATTATAATGGAAGTGGTGGACATAAAGGCAAAGGCTAGGATCATGGCCAGGATACGACTGGTTGTATAGATAAAATCCACCTTCTCTTCATATATATTTTAATTTTTATGGGTACAATATTCATAAAAAAAAATCCGCCAACTGCCAAGTCTAAATGTGTATTGATTGGTGTATTCATACACATATATGAATTTTTATAGATGCCTTAAGGTATCATTTTTTGGTGAATTTAAGTTTTGAATATTTATATATGAAAATATAAATAAATAATAAAATAAAATAATGTCAATTACTATGAATATGACAATGATTTCTTCGAATCATTTTTAAAATCTATTTGATTGGATTTCTAAAAAAATATATTTTAAAATAATATTTTTACAAAAGGTGACTCAGACCATAGGTCAATTTTTAAAAGGTCATTCTGGTCTCAATTTTCAAATCGGACAAACATTAGGAGTTTGGTGCACCATTTACATTAAATCGGATGAAAATATGTATGGAAGCGATATCTAAATCTGAACCGATTTTCACGAAACGTAACATACATTACTCAAGACTTAATTCAGTACGCTATGCCAAATTTCGTGTCAATCGAAAAAATATAGGAACATTGTTGCACCATTTACCTAAAATCGGACGAACATATATATGGGAGGCATAACAAAATCTGAACCGATTTTCTCGAAACTGAACACACATCATTCTAGCCTTAATTCAGTACAAGGAATCGGACGAAAATATATATATGTGGGAGCTATATCTAAATCTGAATCGATTTTCACGAAACTTATCACACATCATTCTAGGCTCATTTCATTACGCTATGCCAAATTTCGTGCAATAGAATGAAATATTGGAACATTGGGCCACTATTTACATTAAATCGGATGTAAATATATATGTGGGAGGTATATTTAAATCTGAACCGATTTTCACCAAACTTAACACACATTATTCTAGACCAAAGTCAGTATGCTATGCCAAATTTTGTGCTAATCGAAGGATATATAGGGAATTATATCTATATATATATATATATATATATGGGAACTATATCTAAATCTGTACCGATTCTGTTCAATTTAGGGTTCGTCCTTGGGCCAAATAGATGAGTTGTTCCAAATTTCATCCAAATCGGATCATAAATGGGATCTGTACAATATAACATGGACTGAAAGACAATTTATGCAGGACGAAAAACATTTTGAAATATTGGATTTCAAAATTTTTGTCCATTTTTTATTACGATTTTTGTTTTTGGTTTCATTTTTATGGACCTAGAATCTCGTGCTCATTTTGCCCTCATTGCCCAAAGCCACTTTCCCTTCTATTTTTATTTTCAAAATTAGTTTTTATATTTGATTATTTGTTTTTCACTGCAATTATTAGCATATAATTATGGCCAGCGATTATCGGTGAGGGCAGTGTGGCTTAATACTATGGTATTTGGCAAAAATATACACACCTTTTATTCATAATATTTTTTTTTTGGGGGGTGGAAATTTGTTTGGCCTTTTGATTTGCTGTTGTTTGTGCTATTTTTTTTCTTCTTCTCTCCTGGCCAATAATAATATTTGTGTTTTTTCTTCAACTGACTGGTTGAGTGGAGGACGCATAAAATTAAAATCCAGCAAATTGCTGGGAAAAATAAACACAAACATACATACACACACATTGATAGCTACATATAGACAAAAAATGTTATGGGTTTTACGATATTACCTCTACAAATGCAGCTGGTGGTGGTCCGATTGCTGGACCATATTTTGGCTATATGCAATATTTTGTGGCTAATAAATCAATTAGCACTGGCCAGGGTAAGATATACACATGCACATACACACACACATGATACACATCATCCAGAGCATCATCATTGGTATTTTGCTTCTGGCCAATATACAAATTTCTATTCAATCATCACTTGATGTGGTTGCACCAAATTACGCACTCATTTGAATACGCAGCAATAGCAGTTGCATCATATACTGTTCTCATTTCCTGAGAACAAAAACAACAACAACAGCAAAAAATTATTTGAATAATTAATTGAGCATAAGCCGAGAAAAAAATTATTGGGAGATATGGCATCATGAATATTTATAAATATGAAAAAATTGACAACAACGAAAAAAGTCACGTGACTTGTCACTTATGGCACACACACACACCCTCATATACTCATCAATATTGTTGTTGTTATTTTTTTTCCAAATAGGAAAAAACAATAATAAATTAATTTATTTTTTTCCATTTTGTTTATTTACAGCAGTAACCCTCCTCAATACTCTCTATCACCCAGTAGCATGTTTTAATGCCCTCACCTCAAGCTGTGGGTAGATATTGCAGCTGAACATCCGCACCCACACACCCACACCGACATAGCAAGCAAGTGGTCACTTGGTCTTACGTTGGACTAACACACATAAATGTACAAGGACAGCAGCTGCCGTAGCAGCCCTCAGCCACCACCGCCAACAACGAACGTCGCTGATCCAGACTCGGATAGAGCGGCAACGACTGCTAGCACGAATCTAACTCAGGGCCACCCACCTAATACGAACTTGACGAGTACAACAACAACAACAGCAACAACTACCACCACCACAACTACTACTCAAGGTACAACAACTACAACAGCTAACGTCCCACCTCATGTCCATAGCTCGGCCACCGTAGAAGACGACGAAGAGGACGGCTTTAGTTGTCCCTCTGAATCGAGCAGTGATTCGGAATACGAAATACGTTCCAGGCCCTCTACGACCAGTACCACCTCAACCTCATCGTCATCGACAACCACAGCAGCCGGTAGCGGAGCAGGAGGAGGAGCGCCAAATTTCGGTTTGACAGCGGGTGTTGGAGGTCCTTGTGTGAGACGTCAGCGCTCCACAACCACCACAGCCCGTCGTCAGCATCATCATCACCGACATTCGAATTCCGATGTACGTATTTTACGTAAAATTGGTTATATAGCTTCAAGGGTACGTTTCCTGGCCCGCATCTATGCCGATTTTAAACTTGTAAATCCCTATACACCCGCCAAGCAGAGACGCCTGCTGCAGGACATTATACTCAAACATTCGATTGTAGATCCGGAAAGGGAATTAAGTAAAGCTGCGGAAGCCTCAGCAAAACCTCGACCCTCTGATACCCCCTCGGTACGTAGCTTAAATTCCACCAGCAGTTACAGTGGCCAACAACAAACGGAAAGCTCTTTTGAAGACGATTCGGTAACGGGTACGGTGAGACGGAAATCCTCAACATCGATAACAGCTTCACCCTCACTGCTGCTGCTCGAAGATCTTTTGGTTCAGTTATATGAAGATCGTCGTAACAAGGTTACTTTGATACGCAGACGCCGCAGCAGACGTAGTAGTGCAGGTCAGGCAACAGGTGGCGGCACCACTGGCGGCTCCCAGCAGCTGAAGAAGCCTCTCAATCATTTAATCATAATGAGCAGTAAGACGACAAGTAGCAGTGTTGAACGTTTACTACAACTCGACAACGAGGATGAGGGAGGCGGCGGCGGGCCAAGCAGTCACACTGCCACAGATGCGGGCAGTGTGGAACGGCTGGCGAAAGGTGGCAATCACATTTACAATGCAAACATCACATCATCTAGTCAACAACAGCAGCAGCAGCAGCAACGCAACAGTTCAATATTTCTACAACCCATTGCGGGGGGTGAGGAAAATTTACGACGGCGAAGGGCCAGTGATTGTACACCCCATCCGGGGCAACCTCTCAGCAATCAATTGCAAATAACGCTTAAAAATAATAACTGTACCAAATTCCCTTTGCATCGTGGCAGCTGTGGTGGGGCGGGAGATCATCTGCTGGCCGCAAATTCCATTGCCAATCGTCAGACCCTAATATTGAGTAAATCGTGTGGCAATGTTGATGCCTCGCTGGGCAATAGCAATCCCGCGCTCTATGGTAGTGGAGATTTGCGTAGCAACACAACAGGGGTGTCATCGGTGGGTGGTAATGGTTCAATGACCACAGCTGGGACAACAGCGACATCTATGTGTGGTGGTGGTGGAGGTGGTAGTGGTATTGGCGGTGGTGGTGGTGCCGGCAGTCAGGCAATGAACGGCAACAACGAGTACAGTATTGTCCAATTAAATAACACCATAATACAGTGCCACTTTAACGATGAAGACTTTAAGGCTTTGGTCAAGGACCTGAAGCGTAAAGTCGAATATACGGAACGCATGAACTGGTTATGTAAGTACAACAACAAATTTATTTTTGTTATATAATTTTTTTTTAAATAAAATTGGGAATGTTTTTTTTCTTATAACAAAATTTGTAGTGTAGATATCAAAATGAAAAAAAAAATTGAAATTAAATTCAATTAAAAAATCTAAATGTATTTTTTTTTAGAATTACATTTTTGTTAAATAGAATTTTTTTTTTCAAAATCTAGATGTATATTTTCCATATATAATAAAAATCTCAATATACAAATTTTAAATATACTTTAATTAAATTTTTAATTTGTGATAGAGAACAATATATTCTTTAATAATTTTTATTTATTTTTTATATATAAAAATTTGTAGTTTGTGTAAATTATAAATGATATATATAAATTAATTTAAAAAAATAATTAATATTTTTAAATTATATATAAATTTGTGTATTATATACTTTTTTGGTATATAGGAAAATGTTATTATACCCTCAGCCTTATTGCTAAAGAGGATATACACATTTTGCTACGATAGAACATGTCCCACATCGAAAAATTGGTTTTATACCCTAAGCTTCTTTGGATGAAATTTGTTTCAGACAATTTGTATAGACCTTTGAAAAAATCTTCTTTAAAAAATCCACGCCTTGTATAGACCTTTGAAAAAATCCACGCCTTGTATAGGCCTTTGAAAAAATCTTCTTTAAAAAACCCACGCCTTGTATAGGCCTTTGAAAAAATCTTCTTTAAAAAATCCACGCCTTGTAGAGGCCTTTGAAAAAAATATTCTTTAAAAAAATTCCACGCCTTGTATAGGCCTTTGATAAATATTCCACGCCTTGTATAGACCTTTGAAAAAATATTTTTTAAAAAATCCACGCCTTGTCTGTATTAAAAAATCTCCGCCTTTTACGGACCCCGTAAAAAATTATTTAGAAAATCAACGCCTATTACGGACCCTGAAAAATAATTTGTAAAAAAATCTCGTGTTATGGACTTCTAAAAAATTATTTAAAAAATCCACGCCTGTTATGGATGTTGAAGAAAAAAATATTTAAGAAATCCACCTCCTACAGATACTGTAGAAAATTGTTTTAAAAATCCAGGCTTCCTATAGATACTAGAAAAAATTATTTAATTTTTTTTCCAAAAAAAGTTCTCAAAAAATATTTTCATAAAATTTTAAAACTGTTGTTAGAAAAAACATCCATTTGTGGGAATCCGAAAATAATTTAAAAACCGCAATTCTGATAAATATAAGAGATGTTCCTTATGTACAAACCATATTTTATTTTTTTACAATGAAGGATATTTTAATCCTTGCAAATAACTCGAATATTTTCCTTCCACGATTATTATCACTTGTTATGGTTACCATATTTCTCCATTTAAAATCCTTTACAATTTTTCCCCTTGAGAGAGAGAGAGAGTGAAAAAATCCTTTAAAACATCAACAACATATTTTATATATTTTTATGATTATTTTTTTTTAGATTTGCATTTGCATCCTTTTTTATCTCAGCTATTAGCTTCATTTTTTAGTTACTCCCTTTGTTCCCCACAAAAGCCGAACACAAGCTTTCACTTTTCATTTCTAATTCATATCTCCATCCTTATGTTGTAGTTTCACTTCTGTTTTTATGTTCATGCTTTAGCCTTAGGCTATTGTTCTGTTTCTTGTTACTGGCTGCATCAGCGGATATGATGGCTGGCTGTCTAACTGCCTTGATGGCTGACAATGTGAAGGTCCTGGTTTTTTGTTGTTGTTGTTGTTGCTGTTGTAATACAAATTATGTTCGTAATTGTTTCCTTGGATTGATGGTTGATGGCATCATTTGCTGGGAACATACCTCTTCTTACCTCATTTCCTCACCTCTTTTAACCTCACTTCTCTGCCAAGGATATTTTTCTCTTTTTTATTCTGCATTTTATTTCTCTCTTGCTTTTTTATGATTACATTTCGTAAGCAGACACTTGTTGCCAACACCAACCCCATCAACCCTGCAACATTTTAATTTTATATTACTCCATTTCTGAACAATGAAGCTGCATTGCTTAGCATCCTCTTTTTTGCCATTTCAGAATTGCAAAGCGAACTTGGCAATAATTTCAAAGAAAGGGAAGACTTTTTTACTTTTTAATAATATATTTATGAAAGACAGCATATGGCCATCCATTTAAATTTAAAAAAAAAACCTGTGTCCTGTTAGCGGTCTCCCTCTTCCTTTAATTTAATTCCCTACTTTTTATAGTTGTTAATTTTTTTTTACAACTCAGGATTATTAGAGTTTTTTAATTACATTTTTTATAACCACCATCCCCCAGCATTCAATCTTACCATGGAATTTGATTTCTGTTATCCTGGCAATAACTGTGCTCAAGTAAACTATTTTTACTCAAGTTCTAAAAATCCTGCAACTCTATGGCGAGGAGAATTTCGAAATGCCTTACTGCACACAAACATAGTTTAATAACTTATTTTTCGTAATACAGTAGTTATCGTTAAAATACTTCTTTCGTCAAGTTATGGTAATTATTTCAGAATTTATTTCATATTATAAATTACAATCTGTTGGCTTTGGCTTCTAACCAAGATGGGAGGAGGAGGAGTGTGGCTTTATTAAAGGCTGGGTAGAAAAAAAATTAAATCCGTTTACTTTATGACTGGCAATCAGAGCAGAACTTTTTTAATGCTCATTTTGTGAAATTACCAACTTTTATTTTTATGGAGAAATAAAATCAGCAACAACAATAATAATAACAACAACAACATAAATTCCAATTAACCAATCATCACATTGTTTGACTTTCAGTAAATCCGCCTTTATTTTTTTTTGTGATGAACGCCATCTGTTGATGTTCTTATTTCTCTTTTTTTATTTCAAATTTCACATTTAATTTTCACAATTTTTATTTCGTTTTTTATTTTTTTATGTCTTATTTTTTTTGGTAGCTTCGTTTTTTATGTTGCTGCTTTATGACGGAAATTAAACATTAAAATTGATTTGGGAAAATAATTTGCAATGTGATTTTGACAGACAGATTTCGAAGGAATAAAAATTTGGAAAATGGGAATTTAAAGGGAGAGAGTACAAATTTCGTTGAGGAAAATTCAAAAAAATGGCTGGACAAGAAATTGATTGTGGCACTAATAAAAATAAGATAAAAACCTATTTTTTCCGTCCAGGTGGCGTATGAGTTGTAGGAATTTTAAATAAGCACAACTCATACGCCACAATTTCAGATATATGTAATTCTAATTATTAAATTACATTGTGATACAAATTAGAGCTCCAAGCCAAAGGCTTGGATTTTTTAAATATTGTTTTGAAGTGGATTTTTAAAATATTTTTTTTCAAATCCCTCTATAGTCCTAGGAGTGGATTTCTTTAAAATTATGTTCCAGTTCTAGGCGCTGATTTTTTTCAGGGCCTTCTACAATAGTTATAGGCTTCGATTTTTTAAATATGTTTTTACGCCTCTCTACAGCTCTAGAAGTGGATTTATTTAACGGTTTTTATTTCAAGCCCCTCTGAAGTTTTAGGCTTAGATTTTGTACAGATATATTTCAAGTTCCTTGACAGTCCTAGGCCTGGATTTTGCAGGGATTTTTTTCAAACCTCTCCATATTCCTAGGCGTCAATTTTTCAAGCCCTTCTATATTAATTAAAAAATCCACGCTTGTTATGGACCCTGGAAAAAATTATTTGATACACCCACGTCTATTAAGGGCCCTGACAAAAAATATTTAAAAAATCCACGCCTACTATAGACACTGAAGAAGATTATATAAAAATCCACGCCTGTTAAGGGTCCTGCATTTTTTTTAAATTCACGCCTGTTAAGGTTTTTGATTTTTTTAATTTATTTAAAAATCTACGTCTGTTATGGATTTATTTTAAATAACTTTTTCCAGCATCCATAAGAGACGTTAATTAATTCAAAAATCAGCGTCCATAATAGGCGTGAATTTTTTTAATAGTCTTTTGCAGGGTCCATGACATGATTTTTAAATACTTGTTTTCAGGGATGGACTTGTTAATAATATTTTGAAGGGCCCATAAGGCGCGTGGATTTTTTAAATAAGTTTTTTGGGGTCTATAACAGATTTATTTTTTTCATGGTCCATAAAAAGCGTGGATTTTCTAAATATGTTTTCGGGGTCCATAACAGATTGTATTTGTTTCGTAGTCCATAAAAGGCGTGGAGTTTTTAAATAATTTTTTCAGGGTCCATTTTTTCAGCGTCCAAAACAGGCTTGGATTTTTTAAATAACTTTTTTTCAGCGTCCACAACAGGCATGGATTTTTTAAACTAAGTTTTCAGCGCCTATAATAGTGGTGGTCTTTTAAATAACTTTTTTTCAGTGTCTATAACAGGCGTGGAATTTTTTATTCATTATACGTCCCCTAGTCCTCCATATGAAATATATTTTTTAAATCCTTTAAATTACTGTCTAAACTATTTTATGGTGATTTTTGTTCATTTCAAAAGTAAAATGTTACTGCCCTTGTATCTTTGGTTTAATAATAACTTATTTCAATAAATTATTATAATTATTGTGGCAACTACAATAATTTCATATATATGATATGATAAATAATAATAAATTTAAATATAAAAGTACTGCCACTACAACTATTTAATATTCCATTCTAGTTATTGTTGTTGTATGCCTTTTGATCCTCTAGCCCCCCAAATAAAAGAACAATACCGAGAAAAAAAGGATAACCGACAATTCCATAGAAATAATTTTTAATTCTTATCACAAAAACAAAACTGCATTGTCTTATGCAGTTTTTTTTCTGTTCTGTGGTTCCATTCATTGTCCATCCGTTTGGTTTTTTTTATTCTGGTCGTTCCGTCTCTTTATCCTGTTCTCTTCTAACGGTCTACATATTTTATGATTGAGGTCCTTCTAACGTTATTACCACACAATTGAAATACATGTCATTCATAAAACATCACTTGTTTTGTCACATATATATTTTGTGTCATATGCATGTATGTCTATGTGTGTGTCTGTGTGTCG